TAGCTTTTGCATAAAAAAAAGCAAACTCGATATGGAGTTTTTTCTGCCCGTCATCTTCTCTGAACTAGATCAGTGCTGCCAGGAGCAGATGTGTCTTTCTGTCATGAAAAACCTTAGGTTATTAAAAATATTAAATGCCGCCGGGCGGTGGTGGTGCATGCCTTTAATCCCAGCACTCGGGAGGCAGAGGCAGGTGGATCTCTGTGAGTTCGAGACCAGCCTGGTCTACAAGAGCTAGTTCCAGGACAGGCTCCAAAATCACAGAGAAACCCTGTCTCAAAAAAAAATATTAAATGCCATATTCTGTACATCTTTGAAGACTATCTAACTATATCTGTGTATGACCTTGAAAACATACCTAACATGACTTTAAGTTTGACTATTATAGACGACATACTATTAATCTGTATTTTTTAATTATACATTTAAAATGAGCTTCATAAGAACAGTACTTCAAACAAGAGTAGAAATATACACACAGTATAACAAAATTAACTTTAAAATGTTATCAATAAACTAAAATCTATACCAATGTAAAATATTCAAGATTAAAAATTGTTTTTGGATTAAAGTAGATTCAATAATCTACCCTTTTATCCTATCATCTCTATATTTCCTCTTTTCTTTTTATAAGGAGATCTCTGAATCTAATCTCCTTTGTTCAGCTTTTTTCCTGACCATTACCAATAAGTTGTAACCTGTGGGGGCCGAAATATGCAGGCCCATATTCTTTTTTTTATGGTTAATAAAAGGGTTATTTATTAAAAGGGAAAAACTTACAGATCACCATTCTAGACAACAGCCTCCTGCACAACCAGGAACAGAGTCTAGCAGCCAGAAATGGAGGTGGAAGCAAGAGAGGAGCAGGCCCATATTCTACATTGTTTGGTGATCAGAGAATCTGAGCGACTTAGAAGGCACAATTTACACAACAATAACCAGCCCCCCTTAAATGATAATATCTATAACCCATTTTTTGAGAATGTAGGCATAGTTTTCTAGCTATTTCCTGTTGACTGGGGGCACTGACATCTTCCAGGGAACCTTGAGAAAATCAGGATAATTGTTAAGTCCTGGCTGTAGTGTTCTGTAAGGCTGGATCATCTCATACAGCAGACTGGAAGCTGTTCTGGATGCTGGATTACCTGGGCCATCATTTTTATTGGTGTCTGGTCCCCTTGCTCTGAATAACCTTTTAAAAGTAATATACATATCTGTATTAGTACGAGTGTAGATTGTGCATTGTACACAAGTCAGTTAAAGATGATTTTTTTTGTTATGTGTTTGAGCAGGTAAAATATGCACCATGTATCTTGTAGTTCTTTTAGGTTTATTTTTTTATGGTAAAGTACACATCTAAACAGGAAGCTTCCCTAGAGAAAAAGGAATAGTTCATAATAAAAATAACTGGGGCAAGCCTTTAATCCTAGTTCTTGGGATGCAGAGGCAGACAGATCTCTGTGAGTTCAATACCTGCCTGGTCTACATGACAAGTTCTAGGCCAACCAAGCTACCTAGTGAGACCCTGTCTCAAGTAAAATAAATAAAATGCAATGTCATATAAAGTATAGTGTACTCAAATTTTTCTTTGGGCTGCCAGCTCACAAATAGCATGGAAACTTATTATTAATTATGAAAGCTTGGCCTTAGCATAGGCTTGTTCTCAACTAGCTCTTATAACCAAACCATCTCTATCCATCTCCATTCTGCCGTGTGGCATTACCTCTCTTGTATCCTGCACCTTCTGTTTCCTCTCCACGTCTTACTGACAAATCCACATTCCTAGATTTCTTCTCCCAGTTTCTCTCTCTCTGCCCACAAGTCCCTCCAATTCTCTCCTGCCTAGCTATTGGCCGTTTAGCTCTTTATTATACCAATCAGAAGGCATCTTAGACAGACACATCTTTACGGTATAAACGAATATTCCACAACAGTATAAGTAGTATTTGTTCCATATTCCCACTAAGGACAATTCCAACGAGGAAATTAGAGTTAGTTATTATCTGACTGCTTTAAGCATTCATTCTAAGACTGGTACAGTTTCTAGGGTATTCCTTTCCTTACCCAGCCTTATTTTAGGCATTCATTGTAAGACTGGTACAGTTTCTAGGTTATTCCTTTTCCTTACCCAGCCTTTCTTTAAGCATTCATTGTAAGACTGGTATAGTTTCTAGGGTATTCCTTTCCTTACCCAGCCTTACTTTCTCAGGGCCTCCCCTGTGTAGCAAGTCTTTATGCCACCAACTCCCAAATAATGACACAAAGACTTATTAATTATGAAAGCTTAGACTTGTTTCTAGTTAGCTCTTACAACTGAAATTAACCCGTTTCTATTAATCTATGTGTTAACACATGGCTTGTGGCTTTTACCTCTCCTTGTGCATGTCCTGCTCCCTCTGCATCCAGCTGGTGACTCCACCTTTCTTCTCCCTCTAGTCCTTTCTGGCCCCAGAAGTCCCACCTAACCTCTTCCTGCCTAGCTGTTGGCCATTCAGCTCTTTATTAACCCAATCACAGCGACACATCCTCACACAGAGTAAAGGAATATTCTGAAACACCCCTGCCTCTAGAGCAGCCTTGAGGAAGACTGGCGGTATCCTGCAGTACTTCCCACCATGGCTGAAGGAATGATGGTCTTACTCCCTGACGTTCCAACCTTCCTCACGAGAGATAGGTGCAGTGCTGTGAATTCCTGACCTCCAGCCACTCAGGAGCTGCACTTGCTTTCCTTGTGCTGTGCTGACATTTGTGGCTGATAAAGATTACTGCGCAAGTCTTGGTTCCCTGTTGACTCTCATGCTAATCCTGCATCACCACTCAGTACCTCTGATTTTCAAACAACATTAATATTTTCATTCAGCAAATGACTGTTCATCTTGTATTGACCTTTTTCCAGGCACTGTGATGGACAGGAAACGGTGTACTGAGGGAAGTGAAAGTAGAATTATAGAATGAGCTTGTCCTTCCTAGTCTGTGACTTGTTGAGGTGGCAATGAGTCACTTAGCTTGCAAGACACATGGAGAAGCCAAAATCATGTCTACAAACTAGTATTTTGCAGTGAGAGAATGGGAAATGGGGTCGGTACTTCTGAGTGTTGAAAGATGTCCTAACTTATGGGGCCTATGGAATCATTAGTAGCTGATACAGACCTTTGAGACTCTAAGTATTTAAAAACATGTTTAGTTGAAATCCAATGGGAACTGTGGGTCACGCTGATTTTTGGTTTTTGGTTTTTCAAGACAGGGTTTCTCTGTGGAACAGCCTTAGCTGTCCTGGAACTGGCTCTGTAGACCAGGCTGGCCTCAAACTCACAGAGATCCTCCTGCCTCTGCCTCCCGAGTGCTGGGATTAAAGGAGTGCACCCTCACAACCTGGTCATGCTGACTATCTATATGAATCATTCATTTTATTTATCTCAGAAATAAGAACAAGTATGATAGTGGATGGTTTTAATCAGTCTCATCAGTGTATATAAGCTGTTGAGATTGTAAATCAGAAATCAAAACATTTAGTCACCAGAAAAATAACTTGTATTAGTAAGAAATGATTTTTTTTTCTTGGTGCTGGGGATTGAAACCAGGACTCTACCAGTGACTACTCCCTAGTCCTGATGTTTTGAGACTTTATCTCACTATATAACCCAGGCTGACAACTCAAAGTACTCTTGTCTCAGCCTCTCTGGTGCTGGCATTATGGCATGCATCAGCATGCTTGGCTTTGTCATCTGTTTCTGAATGAACAGAGAATCCAGAGGTACTGGTTCTTGACATCAGAGCAATGGCTCATTCGCTGAACCCCACAGCACAAGCACCAGAGTTTCAGGAGGAGTTTTTGTATTATACAGCTAGGGTGTGCATTTATTGTTTCAGAAATCGATGGTATTCAGCGACGTGTCCCTGGACTTCTCTCAGGAGGAGTGGGAGTGCCTGGGCCCTGCTCAGAGGGACTTGTACAGAGATGTGATGCTGGAGAACTACAGCAAACTGCTTTCCGTGGGTAAGAGCACCCGTACCAACCACTCAGCGAGTTTCTCAGCTGCTTTCCAACTTTGCCACCTGAATTCCTGCTCCTTGTTTGCACATGGTTTCAGCTGGGCTGAAAAAGAAGCCCAGGAAACAGGCCGCTCCCGTGGGCCGTGGCTGAAGCTTCATCTGCGTCTCTGGCTGCTCCTGTCATGGCATCTCTTGCTTGGTGATCGAGGGATTGGATCTGTTTCCCACAGCATAACGATGTCCCATATCTTTTCTTGTGAGCAGGACTTCACGTTCCCAAGCCTCAGGTGATCTCTTTATTGGAGCAAGGCAAAGAGCCCTGGATGATTGGCAAAGAGCTTACAAGAGGCCTGTGCTCAGGTGAGTGAGAAGGAAACACTCAGCAGTGCAGAGCCTGGGGATACCTCGCTGCGGTCGAGAAAACAGCACCTGGGACATTTATTTTGAAAGCTTCTGCCAAGAAAGCTAGGTCTAGTGAGAAAACCAAGTTCTTTAAAAAAAAATTGTTTTTAGTTGCATATATTTATTTGTTTGTTGTATGAGGTTAGTGTGTGGAGATCAAAGGACAACTTACTGGAGTTGGCTCTCTGCCCATCATGTAGGTCCTGGGATCAGACTCGGTCATCCAGCTTGTCGTCGTTTTTACGTAACTGACACCTTAGTCTTTCCTCCATCCAGAGGTCCAGTAGCTAAACCCCAGCCTTCTAATAAACCAATGTGTGGTGTGTGTGCAGATGTGCACTGCTGCCCGCAGAGGGCAGAAGAGTTCATACATCTGGAACTACAGTCACAGGCGGTGTGAGCTGCCCTGTGGATACTGGGAACCGAGCTGCCAGACTTAACCACCAGCCTGTCCTTCCAGAACCAGCCATGAGGCTCTCTGAGACCTATTAGTGAACACCCTCAGTAGCAGTACAAAGATTTGAAGCCCTGTGGCAGAAATCAGGACAAAGACCAACATGCTAATGTGTGTTTATCATCCTGACTGTAGGCAGACTTCTCTGTCCCGTCTGCCAGCTCACGAGTAACCACCCAGAGACTTATTACTTATGAAAGCTCACCAATAGCTTAGACTTGTTTCTAACTAGTTCTTCTAACTTAAACTAGCCCAGTTCTGTTCATCTACTTCTTTTATGTGGCTTGATCACCTTTACTTTGTAAATGCCCAGGCTGCTTGCTCTGCACCCCTGGCGTCTCCTCCCTTCTTCCTCCTGGTGTCCTCTGCCCCCCAGTTCCTGCCTAGCTATTGGCCATTCAGCTTTTTATTAAACCAATCAGAGTGGCACATCTTCACAGTGTACAAAAAGATTATTCCACAATATTTCCCCGTTTTTTAATCTAAATTGATTGAGGCAAGATAATCCCAGAATCAGCTAGTTCCATAGTAAGACCATCTCAGGGACATTCCTTTAATCCTAGGCTTGGGAGGCAGAGGATCTCTGAGTTCAAGGCCAGCCAGAGCTAGATCATGAGACCTTGCTTTATTATCTAAACCCAAAACAAATGAAAGACCAAATTTATTATGCCACAAAATATCCAGGAATTTGCCATGGATATAGATAAATATATAGTATAAAATATATATATATACTGTCTCTAAAATACTTATATTATGATTCATAACAGTAGCAAAAGTATAGTTATGAAACAACAATGCAAATAACTATGGTTGGGGGCACCACAACAAGAACTGTATTAAAGTTGCAGCGTTATGAAGACTGAGAAGCACTGTACGAGACAGATCTTAAGCGCCTATGATAACCACCTCGAGACAGTAGATTCACTTTAGTTTTAGTTTTTCCCATTTCCATTATAAAAGTTTTAAGTTTCTCCAAATAGGAAGGGAAGAGAACATTTTCTACTTTTTGCCTTTCAGCTCTAGAGTCCATGTGTGAAAGCAAGTTATTATCTCTGAAGAAGGAAGTTTATGAAATAGAGTCGTGCCAGAGGGAGCTAATGGGACTTAAGAAGCATGGCCTCGAGTACTCCAGTTTTAGAGACGTTCTGGAATGTGGAAGCCAATTGCAATATCAAAGTGACCATTTAAGCCAAGAAATACTCAGTCGTGAGTACATGCCCACATTTGTTCAACAGACTTTCCTTACCCTACAACAGATTGTTAATAATGGTGAGAAGCCCTATGAGTGTAAGAAATGTAGGAAGGTCTTTACGCAGAACTCACAGTTCATGCAACATCAGAGACTTCATATTGGTGAAAAGTCCTACGAATGTAAGGAGTGTGGGAAATTCTTCAGTTGTGGTTCGCATGTCACTCGTCATCTGAAAATTCACACTGGTGAGAAACCATTTGAGTGTAAGGACTGTGGGAAGGCCTTCAGTTGTAGCTCATACCTTTCTCAGCACCAGAGGATACACACTGGTAAGAAACCTTACGAGTGTAAGGACTGTGGAAAAGCCTTTAGCTATTGTTCAAATCTTATCGACCATCAGCGAATTCACACTGGTGAGAAGCCTTATGCATGCAAAGTGTGTGGGAAAGCTTTTACAAAGAGCTCACAACTTTTCCAACACGTGCGAGTTCACACAGGTGAGAAGCCTTATGAATGCAAGGAATGTGGCAAAGCCTTTACTCAGAGCTCAAAGCTCGTTCAGCACCAGAGAACCCACACTGGGGAGAAACCCTATGAGTGCAAGGAGTGTGGGAAGGCCTTTAGTAGTGGCTCGGCGCTTACAAACCACCAGAGAATCCACACCGGGGAGAAACCCTACGAGTGTAAGGAGTGTGGGAAGGCCTTCACTCAGAGCTCACAGCTTCGGCAGCATCAAAGAATCCATGCTGGTGAGAAGCCCTTCGAGTGCCTTGAATGTGGGAAGGCCTTTACCCAAAACTCACAGCTTTTTCAGCACCAGAGAGTCCACTCAGATGAAAAACCTTATGAATGTAAGAAATGTGGCAAGGCTTTTAATAAATGCTCAAACCTTACCCGCCATCTGAGAATTCATAGTGGAGACAAGCCCTTTAGCTGTAAGGAATGTGGGAAGACATTCAGTAATGACTCAGACCTTGTTCGCCATCAGGAAATTCACGCTAATGAATAATAAAAATTCATATTTGAGAGTTACTTTCTTGATGCGGTTGATTAGGTATTTATATTTTTAATCATAACTGTAGGTTAGGGATTCCGAGTCTGCGTTTGCTCTCTTCTCCCACCCCAGTGCTAGGTGCCTAATCGCCCTTTATTTCTCCATTGCTGGGCTTTGTAGTACCGTTGTTTATATTTTCTTACAGTTTTAGGACTGTCTTTTATCATCTTCTAAACTGTTTTTGATGTTTGCACTAATATCACAGTGTTTTAATTGTGTAATCTGTAGTGATTTTAAGTTCCTTATAGAATTCCAGTGTTGATTTGAGGCATGTCAGTCTTTTTGCTATATTTCATGAGCTTTATTTTTATTGTAAGTGGAAAAAAAAATGAGAAAACTAGAAAATCCAAAGCTGAAACATCAAAATGAACTGCTATATTGATTGTAGACGACGATTGTCAGTTTGGTGGAACTAATTCTGCTGGACTTTATTTTCTAAAAGCCATGTAGTTATGGTATTTGTGTTCTTCCTTTATCTGCTTTTATCATGCTAGAAACATTATAACAATTGCTTTTCCAGCAATGAAACGTATCTTTTAAATGGCTATTATTCATGTTATGGTTGCTTCTAAATTTTTGCATTTATAAAAGAAGTCTCCATTAATATGACCCCAAACTTATGTTTGGATGTTTGATGTTTTATTTCTCTGAAAATCAAAAGCATTTCTTTTAATGCTGAGTTTATTCCCCTTTTCTTCTTGTATGCCATGCTCTTTCTTCCTTTCCATTAGCCCTAATCCTAATGCCATGGCAGAAAGTGTTAGCAAAGTGTTATTTTCTCACACATGGTGAGCACTCGTTCTTTATCTTACATGTGCGGTCGTGGACATGCCGTGGTTTGCTGCGAGGACTCGAACTCGTAACTATAAAGACTGCACATCTACTCCTAGCATACAGTATAGGTCTAATAAAAGGTTTCTCTGTTATCATTAGCATACTGTGTCATAATTTTCTTTATGATTTCTGGAAGGTGTGTGTGTGTGTGTGTGTGTGTGTGTGTGTGTGTAGAGCTGGGGATAGACACCAGGGCCTTATATGTGCTAGGCAAGCAGCCACTCACTCATGAATTCTAGGCAAGTGTTTTATTGTTAGCCCACTTCTTCTAGCTTCTGGAATGTACTTTTTTGGTTATTTTGAGATGTGGTTTCTCTGTGTAACAATCCTAGCTGCCCTAGAACTCGCTTTGTAGACCAGGCTGGTCTCAAACTCGCTGAGATCTGCCTGCTTATACCTCCCAAGTGCTGGTATTAAAGGTGTGCACCACCACCACCTAACCTTGGGATGTACTTTTAACTGCCATTTACCTTTATCAAAACTGGAGGATTTGTGATAGAAAAATAAATAGTTATACGAAATAAAGCCTTTCCTCTACTACTTATTGAATTACAAGCGGGAAACAGTTGTGTGGTAGTCTTTATTTAGACTTAGTTCCCATTCATATTCTCTCTCTCTCTCTCTCTCTCTCTCTCTCTCTGGGACAATTTTACTTTGTAGCTGTGGCTGGTCTGGAACTCACTATGTAGACCAGGCTATCCTGGAAAACAAAGATCTGCCTGCTTCTGCCGCCTAAGTGCTGGAATTAAAAATGTGGGCGCTACAGCCAGCTTCAGACTTAATTCTTAATGTTGTTCAAATGATGTCAGTCTGAAATTCTGGAAGGTTTTGGCGGGTAGTTGAAGTCACAGCTGTCAAAACAGCAGGAAGAGATGACATTGTTTTTCTTTATTGCCCCAAAGCAGAAAACATACAAGTATTGTGTGGCGGTATTCCTGGGGGAGGCCTGAGCAAGCTTCTATTCACCTTTGATAGGGAACCAGTGACAGCCAAAGTGAGGATGTTCCCGAGGTCGTGGTGAACCAGAGTGTTACTGGAGTTGCATGCAGGAGCGTGAGGGAGGGGTATTAGCGATAAGAGCAGAAGTGATTCAGAGATAGCCGCATCCCAAGAAGCCCATCCTGGGATGGGTGAACCTCTGGAACATTTCCTCTTCCAGGCTGCTCAGTTAAGGTCCGTCCTTACTGCTTGTATAAGCTTGGAAAAGGAGGGACCTGATGAGTCTACTCAGTTTCAGGGATTTCTTAAAAGTTTTTGGGTTGTGTACTTCCTGATTTGTAAGGAGCATTCCTGCACAGAAGAATATTTCACCTCCCTATAGAACATCCTCCAAGATGGAATGTCTTAGCTCAAAAGATGCTGCTTTGCAGCAAGTCGTATTCTTCGACAAGAATGGGAGGGCACAGAGATGATTAAATATCTGGGTATTAAAATAATTTTATTTTGGACACAAGTTAAAGAAATGAATCCCTATAGAAGTGTTAATCTAATCTTATTAATAAAAACTGGAGTTTCAGTTTCTGAAAGGTAACTGAATGTTTCTGAAAAGGTAGTACCTTCCTCTTCTGTTCATCCAAAAGGGCCAAGATTGTGTCTTAGCCCTGCCTGGCCACTTCCTGTCCTCTCTTTACAGTCCTCCAAACCTCTATGGTCAGCTAGTGACTGGCTCTGCCCTCTAACTCCAAGCGAGCTTTATTTGTCAAAACACAAAGAAAATATCACACAACACCCTATTCTACATCTTGTCCCATAATATAGGGGATTGGAGGAGGAAGATGTAGTTATATAAAATGTGATTAGATGGTTATGGTGGCTCATACCTGTTAGTGCCTAGAGATGCTGATGGAGGCTGATTGAGAGCTTGATATCATGATGGTCTGTGTACCAAGTCCCTGTCTCCAATAACATGATTTTAAAGAAATTTTTCAGAATACTCAACATTTCCACCTTGTCCTGCCAGCTTTAGGACTTTGGAATTGGTGAATCCAGTTGACCCTGTTTACTTAAAATGGAATTCATATGCACACATCCAGGACCTAGAAGGACATGTCCAAGTGAACTGCTGCTGACTGGAGATTACTCTCTGCTTGGTTTTGCTTTCTATAGTACAGGTAGTTACTTTTCTAAAAGTTCACTTAAGGGGCTGGAGAGATTGCTCAGCAGTTAAAAGCACTTGCTGCTCTTCCAGAGAACTTAGGTTTGGTTCCCAGCACCCACAAGACAGTTTCAGGGACCCAGTAACACCTGGTGCATAAACATACAAGGCAGCCAAAACACCCAGACACATAAATAAAAATTAAGACCTCACTTAAAACAGAACCCAACTTTGAAGATGCGGCAATTGAAACCTCACACTCACCCCTTAAATGCAAGCCCTGAAACAAACCACCCAAAGCAGTAACACGGACTGAAATAGTCACCCTAAGACAACCGGGTGGTGGTGGTTCACACCTTTAATCCCAGCACTCAGGAGGCAGAGGCTGGAGATCTGAGCTCTGAGTCTACAGAGTGAGTTCCAGGGCAGCTCAGAGAAACCTTGTCTGGGGAGAGAGGAGGGAACAAAAACAAAAAACAACCAAGTAAATAAGAGAGTCACCCCATACACCCGCTGTGACTTGCAGTTTGGCAGGACACACTCAAAGTTGTCAAGCAACAGCCCACCATCAGAGGATGTGATTTCAAATTCAGAAGCTCAGTAAACGGACAGGCTACCCCCGTTGATGCGCACGCGCAATGGTGTGCAGCCATGGTCATGCACAAAAAGCACACACAGACATTCAATCACTGTCACCCCCACGCTGAACCTTACATCGTCTCACACAAACCCACCCACACCAGGGAACTCGCCTGGAGCGGCTAACAGGTCCCGGCGCTCGCACTAGCCGAGCATCTTGAAGCGCCTGAATAAAGTGGAAAGGGTTGCGCAGCAAAGAACTCTGGGGCTGGTAGTTCTGGGGGTCCAGAAGGAGCCTCTAGCTGAGAATATCTGATGCGCGGTCGCCTGTCGAGCCTCGCCCTCTGGCTGGGCCCGCTGTGACGTCACGGGCCTGGGTCACAGAGTCCTTTTGTTGGCCTGTGGGGCGGGGAGGTGAGGGCCAGTGGAGATGGACCCGGTGGACACCGCGAGACGGTGTGTGTGTACCTGGGGACACCGTGAGATGGTGTGTGTGTGTGTGTGTGTGTGTGTGTGTGTGTGTGTGTGTGGTTTTTCGAGACAAGGTTTCTTTGTAGCCTGTCCTGGAACTAGCTTTTGTAGACCAGGCTGACCTCGAACTCACAGAAATCTGCCTGCCTCTGCCTTCCGAGTGCTGGGATAAAAGGTGTGTGCCATCACCGCCTGGCTTAGCCTGCAGCTCTTTATTTAGAGGTGAGTTCTTGTGAAGTTTACCACATCCACTTGTTACGCTAACGGAGATGAGAAAGACCAGCTATTAAATTATACAGCTTTTGGACCTTAGAAGTTAGAACTGGCAGCTGGAGAGACAGCTCAGTGGGTAAGAGCATTTGTTCTTACAGAGCATCCAGGCTTACTCCCCCATGGCGCTCAAAACGTAAACTCCAGTCCTAGCGCACCCAGGCAGCCCTCTTCTGGTCTTGGGCGCTGCGTGGATATTATGCACAGGTACGCATGAAGGCAAAACATCCACACACAGAAGGTTCTTTAAACTTCTTGACTAACAATTTTAGGAATTAGTACAATTTAAGTATGCGAGGCTTGAATGAAGCTAACACGAGCAACATGAAAAATGTCGCTGTGAACATTACAGGTTACACAGTGTGGCGTATATCCGTTGATACAGTCATTTCTGAGCACCTACAGTATTGCTGGCGTTGTGCTCGCCCCGAAATACATCAGGGAGCCAGACAAACTCTAGCTAGCTGTCTTAGGTCTTGCAGTCCTGTGTGGGGAGACAAGAAATAAAATGTGTGGGGTAAATGGTAAGAATAACAATCAAGATCAGGACTGAGGCTAGAGAAATGGCTAGGCAGTTTATGAGCCCTTGTCTCTTCTCCAGAGGACCTGGGTTGGGTTCCCAACATCCATGTCGGGTGGCTCACAGGATTCCAGCTTCAGAGGGATCTTATGCCCACTTCTGGCCTCTGTGCGCACCTACACATATGTGCCAGAGAAACAGACACATGAATACATACACGTTACTAAAAGTACTAAAATTTGCAAACTACAACAAAGATCAGGCTATAATTTCTCTCTGTGTAGCCTTGGCTGTCATGGACCCACTCTGTAGACCAGGCTGGCCTCAAAATCACAGCAATCTGCCTTCCTCTGCCTCCCGAGTGCTGGGATTAAAGGCGTGCGCCAACCACTGTCTGGCTGATTTCCTATCCCTTTTATTGACCTGTCTTGTTCCTATCTTTTCCTTGTTTAATAACTATAAGATCTTTGCCATGTTAATTTGGACTACTATCCCATGCTGTCTGGCAAAATTTTCTGTGCTGATGGTAATAATATTCGCTTTCCCTATCCTGCACAGTAACTGATAACAACACTTGGCTTCGGGATACTTGAATTGTTCATAGGGATAAAAGGACTAAATAATTTAATTTCAGATAATTTAAATTTGTCATGGGGCTGGAGACGTTGCTCAGAGGTCAAGAGCACTGTTTGCTCTTCCAGAGGACCCAGGTTTGATTCCCAGCACCCACATTGCTACTAATAACTGTCTGTAACTCCAATTCTCAAAGACCTCGCACCTGTTTTTGGCCTCTGTGAACACTGCATATAAATATGTGGTACATAAACATTTATACAGACAAAACACATAAAAACAAACAGCCATAAAATAATAAAAAATTAAGTTGTTACACACAGTGACTAGTATATTGAATAGCATAGTTCTAAATATTTTCCCCCTCAATATGTAGCCTCGACTGGCCTAAGACTCATTGTGTAAACCAAGCTAGCCTCAAGATGACTGAGATCCAACTGCTCCTGTGTTGTAGAATATTATTTTAAGATGTATTACATTTGTTTATGCTGTGGAACATTTGTTTTAATGAAGCAAAGATGTGTTGCTTCTTTTATGAAGCATTTGCCTAACTGTGAAGCTGTGATTCTTTGCCTGTCTAAAAGGCCTGA